ACATTTCTCCAGTCCTACACTCAAAAGTTGTCGACTTCACGGTAATACTTTATTCATCAATCACCGACCGGCTAAATCTTCTCGGGCATCTTCGTATTGATAATACGCCTAACTTTTCTATTGCGAAAAGTTGCAAAAGTAGTAGCTACTAGAGTGAGCACTAGTGAGCAGATGTAAAATACCTTGATTAGGTGATTATGCAAATGTAATTATTAACAGTTAACAGTTAATTTTTCAGGTGAATAATGAGATAATTTTATAAACAATTCGAAATTCGATTTGAGCCACAAAATAAATGGTTTGGTCTGCAGTGTCCCCTTTCTCAAAAATGTAGCAATTACTGGCTCATAAAAAACGATTTATAACCAGTTGATTTTTTACTACTAAATATAACTACAATTACACATTGTCCTAAAGAGGTAAGATTCCTCAGCCCTACATTCGAGAATTTCGAAAATAGCCTTATGCATATTATACGTAAATATGTACAGGGCTTTCATTTTAAAACTTGCCACTCACGTTATCTGCGTAAAGAAACAGATTTCTAGAAATCGCCGAAACACGTCAACAAATTTATTGAGGGGGTACCTACGTTAATTTGTTGACGTGTTCCGGCGATTTCCAGAAATCTGTCTCTTTAGGCAGATAACGTGGGTGGCAAATTTCGAGATGAAACCCCCTGTATGTACATGTACGTAGACAGATGCGTGTATAACAGTATATGTGTTATGTGTATGTACACACACGAATTGACGCGCATGCTCGTAAATAACACAGTATCGTAGTATAGGGTGATTTAAAAAGCGCGCCAGATTTGAATTGCTCGAAAGAGAGTTTTGGCATGCCATCAGAGTAGAGGGGGCCATGCCCTTTGACCTTTGTCATTTTCCATACCTAAATTGAGAAGGTTTGATCCAACCGGTTCATCTTAATTCTAAAGATATTAAAAAAAAATTGAGCTCCTTTTTTAATGTATTAAATCTGGCGCGCTTTTTTGAATCACCCTATATACAGGGTGTTTTCTAAGTTGGGGTTTTCCTTTTCAAATGGCGTGGAACTTAAAAAATACAGGAGTTTTCCAAATAATATTTTCTCGACAGCTCAAAAATAAAAGAGATATGTTCATTTCAAATAATATCAAAAATCAAATATTTTAATAAATATATATATATATAAAGGTAAAATTCTTGAATTTAATCTTTTTTTCTAGAAATCTGTCTCTTTACGCAGATAACGTGGATGGCAAGTATTGAAATGAATGCCCTGTACATATTTACGTATAATATGCATAAGGCTATTTTCGAAATTCTCGAATGTAGGGCTGAGAAATCTTACTTCTTTAAGACAATGTGTAATTGTAGTTATATTTACCAAACTACAGTAAAAAAATCAACTGCTTATAAATCATTTTTTATGAGCCAGTAATTGCTACATTTTTGAGAAAGGGGACACTGCAGACCAAACCATTTATTTTGAGGCTCAAATCGAATTTCTAATTATTTATAAAATTATCTCATTATTCACCTGAAAAATTAACTGTTAATTGTTAATAATTACATTTGCATAATCACCTAATCAAGGTATTTTACATCTGCTCACTAGTGCTCACTTTAGTAGCTACTACTTTTGCAACTTTTCGCAATAGAAAAGTTAGGCGTATTATCAATACGAAGATGCTCGAGAAGATTTAGCCGGTGATTGATGAATGAAGTATTACCGTGAAGTCGGCAACTTTTGAGTGTAGGACTGGAGAAATGTACCTCTTTATTTGTAGGACAGTGAAACCATTTAATTGTAGTAATATTTACTAAGCTACATTAAAAAAATCAACTGGTTATAAATCATTTTTTATGTAACGTATCTGCTACATGTTTGAGAAGGGAGTCAGCCTAGATCAAACCATTTATTTTGTCGGACAAATGTTGTTTCATATTAGTTATGAAACTATCTCAACATTCAGCTACAAAATTAACTGTTATTATTTACATTTGTATGATCACCAAATAGACATGTATTCCACCTGCGCACTCTGTTAGGTACCTGTTTTTGGAATTTTGGCAAAAGAAAATTTGGGCGTCTTATCAAAATGAAGATGTTCACGAAGATTTAGCCGGTTATTAATGAAAAAAGTTAAATCGTGAAATCGACAACTTTTGAGTGTAGGACTGAAAATAGCTACCTGTTTATTTGTAGGACAGTGTGACCATTTAATTGTAATAATATTTACCAACCTACATTGAAAAAATCAACTTGTTATTAATCATTTTTTATGCAACGTAATTGCTACATGTTTGAGGGGGGGGGGACATCGTAGACCAAACCCTTTATTTTGTCGGACAAAGGTTGTTTCAAATTATTCATGAAATTATCTCAACATTTAGCTAAAAAACTAACTGTTATTGATTAAATTTTTATAGTCACCAAATCGACATGTTTTACACCTGCGCAGTATGTTAGCTACCTGTTTTCGCAATTTTCGTTGAGAAAAAAGTTGGGCGTCTCGGTGAAATGAAACTGCATTGAAAAAACTAGCTTGTTATTAATGATTTGAAAAAGAGGTCCTCGGTCCCCGGACTAAAAGCTTCTTTTGTAAAACAGCAGAATCACTTTGCAGAAATAATAAAGAGGATTAGTAATCATCATAATAGTTATTTATGATATATGAGTGTTAAAAGTACATTTTTGAGGCACGCATGTGAAAGTGAAAGTTTTCGAAATTTATTCGGATTCTGCAATTCACCTAAGTGCCTTAATGCAGCCTTAAAAAGTATTTTTATACCTAGGTACCGAGAAAATTCTGCCTGGTCTTAGCCAAAAAAAGTTTAGGATATAATTATTTGCTGGGAATTTTCTCAGTGTGCATATTGTCTGGCTAGCCAAACCGCCCAAACCAGTGTTGGTAGTTCGGTGTAGTTGAAATTCCCCATACGAGCGCAAAAAAGTCCCTAGATTGGTATAAAAATCCCTGGTTTTAGAATATAGGTACCCATTCGATTTCTATTACGGAGGAATCCAGCATTCGAACCTAAAACCATTAAAACTGCCAACAAGTACAAGTATATGAACGTAAAATCTGAAAACAACCATTGAACGATCTTGTGTTCAGTACAAAATATCTAAAGTTTGTTTTTTATTTAAAGATAATTCCCCAAGTCAAAAATTTAGTAACTATGTTGGCAACACCAAGCTTTTTCTACATAAAAAAATTGAAAGCATTGACAATTTTACATTGCATTGCCAACATAATGTCATTTTGACTTTTATCTTTAAAAAAAAAACAGACTTTATTTCGTATCTTTCTCTATTTGTACGCGTTAGAAAGAGATATTCGGGCTATGCAAGCAACCTGCAATAGAAATTGTTTTTCTTTTCTCTCTGTAACACATTGTACCAAGCCGCATAAAGGGTGTATTTTCATTATGATATTGTTATTTTATATAATTAAAATGCATAATACCTATGTATTAAAAATGATAAATTATATTCCATTTTGCGCTAAAATATCACAGAATTATAAATTAGAAAATCCCTAAATTTGGCATAAATTTCCCTTATTCCTAATTGCTGAAAATTTCCCTAAATCTAAGGAGAAATTCCCTAATATACCATCACTGAACCAAACTGCGAACTGCAATAGAATTTGCTGCTTGGCCAAACTTGACGGAAACAGTAATAAACAAGTTGGTGACATATTTTTTTTTGCTATATGGGCATGTGTAGTATTTTGAAATAGAAAAAAATTCGGCAACATTGCGAAATGATGGATAATGGAGAGGCGTGATTATTCAGAGGCATGATTCTATTGGTTAGAGCATAAGGTTAGAGCAGCTTGTTAGAGTTACGACAGCACAGTGGCGTAGTTATTGGCGAAATTTAAAAAAAAATTCTAATAATTTCATTGGTTCATTTCCTTATGATTTCCTTAATGTTCTCGTTGCCACTGAACCCAAAGACATGGTTGTCATCAAACGGTGTCAGTTGAGGTATCGAATATTCTTAAGGCCCATCCTCAATCAATCTGGTAGCGAAGTGGCACTTCGACACGCATGCTAGGATAATGTTGTTTTTTGGCATCCTCAATAATTCAATTCCGTGCTAGCATGCACGGCACGCCGACTCCGAAGTGCAAGCTTGCAAGCTTTTTCGATGCGTGCCAACTTGCGTCATGTGTCATGCACAGTAGCGCAGTACGGTAAAAAATAATTCAGGTTATCCTTGCGCAAGGATGATACATACTACTACTACAGGATGGCTTATCCTCATAAGGCCTGTGTGTAACAAATCCCCCCCTACCCCCCTTAGCCAAACAACCAGTTGTGACGTAACAAGCATGGCGTTTCTCGCCTTGACGTAGACTCTTTAAACAGCTGACGACTTAGTTATGACGTCGACAATGGTTAAAAACAGTTGAAAACCAATATGGCGGCAATTACCGAAAACGAGGCCGATAAGCTAAGAGTGTGTCCTTGATCCTTGCGTTCGGTATTTTGCTCGAAGAGCAGAGCGTGCAGAGCGGAGCTGTAATCACGTGACCAGCGAGCGCACAGAGCAGTTAAAGGGTGTATCAGAGCCAGAGGGCTCGAAATTTTATTAAACAAACGTGAATAAGCCTGCGCCGAGTACACTTTTTAATAAACGAACGGTAAATTTATGCTCAGAGAACTCAGATCAAAATACCGAACGCCCGGTTCGTGACCGTACTAATTTTTTTTACACGCACAGCAGATTGAAAATTGACAGCATTGAGGATGGGTATCAATTTCCCAGCACGCGTTTCGAAGTGCCACTTCGCTTCACTACTAGATTGATCGAGGATGTAGCTTTAGGTTACGCCCCAATTTTCTTCCCCCTTTCGTCTCTAACATGTTACCACTTGCCAGATTATATTTAGTTTAGAAGGGTTGGTTTCGCAATAGCCGAAACCGAGACACGATGAAAACGCTTATGCCGTCTGTCACAATAGAAGCAAAATGTCAATTGTCAAATTTAATTGAAAAGAAATCCAAACCCAAACATTCCAATCCAAAACAAAAAAACATATCAATTTGATTTTTGATGAGATGATTGAGATTGAACTTGAGCATTTTCATTAAAATAATGACTAATTTAAAAATGTGTGTTGTTTTTAGTTTATTTCAATAGTGAACTTGAATTAAAATAAGTGTCGGAACAGCATGGACGAAAGATTCAAGTTAACTGAACGTTTAATTGTTGTGGTACTGTTTCTTACATTTGTGTGGATTTGTAGGCAAATCGTAGATTATAACGTATCAGATTTGTCGTTTCTATAATGGCAAAACAGAGGGTTTCCTATTTTTTCAACCCTGATGTTGGTAACTTTCATTATGGGACTGGTCATCCGATGAAGCCCCACAGACTATCTGTTATACACAGTCTCATCTTGAATTATGGCCTGCACAAGCATATGCAGGTATACAGACCCTACAGTGCGAGTGCCCATGATATGTGCAGGTTTCACTCAGATGAGTATATTGGTAAGTTTGTAAGTTGATTTGAGGTTCATTTGAATTTTCCAGATGCTGCCTAAGTAAATAAATATCCATGTAGGACTCTTCAAAGATTAGTTCATTCCAAGGTTCATTTTGCAGATGCAAATTGTGTTGGAATTTGCTTTCAAGTTAGTATTAGAACTCAGTTTTATGAAAATGACTAATGAAAAGGTCTTGGAGAGGGTTTTCCATGAATGAATTCAGCAATTTGCAGCAAAAGCAAATTTTACAAAAAAGATTATTAACTTCATTAGTGTTTCTTCCAATTAAAAATGCCACAAACGGGTCTTGAAGTTGATTGTGGAAGTAGTTTCAACAAGGTAACAAGGTGATGTCAGGCTTTTTTCATTGCCCTTTGTTTTAAACTTTTCTAATTAAAACGTGAAAATTTTTCACTACCACTGTTTCTGCATCTGAAATGAAGCCATTTTCGAAATATTCGTAAGAATCTAAGCATTTGTAGGCCTTCATTTGCTCATTAATGTGAACTCTGGATCAAAATGTCATCTGGACATTTTTTTAAACTAACCGTTCGCCCAGATCCTGATTTTCCTGCATTCAAGTTTTTAAATATTCACTCTGCATCTCAAAAAGTATATTATAACAAAATAAACTGTAATTAGCTTGAAAATATTCCAAATAAACTCAAGATAAACAAACAAGCGTCAAATTTTCCACGGTCGCCATCTCGGTCGCCATATTGAAAAATCACGTGGTTTGGAGAGCCTAATTCAAAAGTGTAGGGTTAAATCAATAACTTATGATGAAAAATAAACAATAATAACATTTTGACTACAGGGTGATCTATTATAGATGTCACGCCCTGCTAACTTTTTCATTTGACGTTTTTGACAGAAGTGTCAAGTACAAAAGTTTTAAGAAATTGTCAAAAGTTTTTAACTAATGGAACGCCCTGTATATTGTGCGCTTATTTGTTAGTCCCCTTTAACCACGTCTTTTAAGCTGGAAGAGCAAATTCAGCAGAATCGAAAATCAATACATGGAACATTAAAGGCTCAATTAAAGCTAATTAAATGCCCTAAGGAAAAATTTAAGGCTCCGCCAATTTTCGCGAAATTGGCTGTTCTGCTAGCTTTAACTTAAGCCAGAAGAACATGACCGAAAATGTGACTAAAACAACAAAAATTGCAATTCCACTTGCAGACACATTAAAGTTTGGAAAAGTCTTATTAAAATTAAAAATTACTATGTACCCAAACTACCCGGGTTATTATCGGTAAGTTTGAAAATGTCTGATTAAAATTGAAAATTAACCCAAACTTTCCCATTACAGCATCTAATTAGCCTTCAATAAGTCACTAATTTCACTGTCCAAGAGGTTTCCACGCCATGCTTGGCTGACCACACTTACGCGATGCGACGCATTTTCACAAAAAAAAGTAATTGTGCCTGAAATTAGTGGTGCCGCGAGACAAGACTAGATGAGACTTAAGGTTGGTCTTGTCTCAACATCTCGAGACGAGACCGTGACTTAATCTCGGTCTCCAGTAACAAAGTCTCGTCTCGTCTCGAGTGGTCTTGTCTAGTCTCGAGTTATACAGGGTGTTCGAAAAATAATGTAAAAACTCTTCACTACATGGTGGAGGACCCTTCAAGAAACCCCAGAAATATAATTTAAAAAATCTAGGGCATTCTTAAGAAAATTATCCGCATTTTAATGTTTAATCCTTCCGATACCTACTTCCACCTTAACTAAAAAGTCCATAATTTATAATGGTAGGAAAATATTTAATCATCTACCAAAAAGTATAAGAAAAATAGAAGATGAAAGAAAATTTAAAAGAGAAGTGAAAAAATTACTTTTGAACAAAGCTTATTATTCAGAAATCGAATATTTTGACGACTTATTTTAGACTGTGATTTTTTATACATTTATTTTATTTTATTTAAGACCCGCTTTAATTTATGTTTTGACCTCCTGTGTAATTTTAGTATCGTCGTTTTATTATGTATTCTTTGTATTGTCGACTTATCGGTGTTTTTAATATTGTTTTACAAGTCAGCATTATATTATGTTTTAGGTATTTTTTTTTTAGTTTTTAATTCTGCTTTGTCAATGAGATGTTTTAATCTTTTTTTTTATGACAATAAAGCTGTTTTTGAATTTGAATTTGAATTTAATAAAATTTGCAACACTGATGATGACCATTTGCACCGACTATTTTGAGAAAGCCTTAGCGATAAATATTCCTTACAATGGTCGGTGCAAACGGCCATGAAAATATCCCGTTGACAATATGTCAGAGAATTAAATTAAATACCTATGTAATTTCCTGTAGAATTCGAAGGTTAAATTTCACGTTTACCTCTTCATATTACTAAGAGAAGGAATTTTCTAATTATTTTTCTAGGATTTCTCAAAGGGTCCCCTACTACGTGGAGAGCTTTTACGCTATTTTCTGGACACCCTGTATTTACGATTTTTATTTTTATATTGTAAAAGAAGTTCAAACTGCCACAGTGAAGCAGTTATTTAAAGAGAAAAAAATCACAGTAAAGAGTATTCGTGATGTTTGAAAAAATATGAACGTCAAATTAAAGAAAAAAATAATGTCAGACAGAACAGTTTTTGTAAAAAGAATCACCCTGTAATTTTTTTGTGAATAAATGGGATGCTTTTCACATACCTCATCTTCAGATCTAACTTCCAGTTTAGCCGAAAGTACTTATGCTTTAAACATTTTTTTAAATTGATCTCACTACTGGCTAAACCAAAAGTGCAATCTGAAAATTAAGTAGATAGTTATGTAGAAATCATCCCAATAATTGTTAGTATTAAAGTCTACTGATTTCATATACAATAGCCCAGAATAGTCCAATAATAAAGCTATACATACAGGAGCAACTTGCAACCTTTAAAAATTATTCAAAACTACATTTTAAAAGTAACATTCAAAAGGAAAAAATTATATCCAACCAGATTATTGTATAGCGTGGATGTTTGCAATATAGAATGCTTATTTATTCATTCTGTTTGTACATACATTCACAAAAATAAAACACTGAAAAGAACTATAGACCCTTATCATCAGACTAGAGCCAATATGGACAATCATCTAACCATCCCAATTAACAGGAAGACTGTGAATCTAAAATTTGTAGATTATCTTGGCCCAAAATTTTATAATCAACTACCTAATAATATAAAGGCTATTAATAGAATTAAGTCATTTAATAGTGAGAGCAAAACTTTTATTGTAAATAATTCTAAAATATTTCTAAGAATAATGATATGAGACACACATAGAACAACACTTGGTTTACTGAGCGCATTATCTATATTTACTTGTATTTATATTTGTATTTGAATTTATATTTGTAAAAGAGGAGTCTATTTTTACAAGGATTAAACTATTTTAAGCAAGTTGCAATTTAAGGGAAACATATAGATGTGCAAACATCTAGGTGACCCATTAACTTTTCATAAATACCTATTAAGTATTGTTATTGAATGTAATTAGTGAATGAATCCTGTGAAAATTGTATATGCAAATAAAAAAAAAAAATACTAGTTCCTAATAAATGTAATCCAGTTGGCTGAATGAAAGAAAAATTTTAATTGCAATCTCGAGACTACACGAGACTCTCGACGAGTCTGGTCTCTTCTCATCGAGACTTCACGAGACGAGACCAAAAGCCAGTCTCGTCTCGAAAAGTCAAGACAAGACGAGGCGAGACGAGACGAGACCAGTCTCAAGTCTCGCGGCATCACTACCTGAAATTCGCGGAGCCTTCAATAAGCATTTAATGGAATGGAATTGCAATTTTCGTTGTTTTACCCACTTTTTCGCTCATGTTCTGCTGGCTTAAGTCAAAGGTAGAAGAACAGCCATTTTTGCGAAAATTCGCGGAGCCTTAAATTTCTCATTACACTATTTAATTAGCCTTTAATGCATTCACAACGACTGCACTATCGGAACACTGATTTTCACCGCCAGAGGTTTTTCCGCCACGCTTGGCCGACATCACCCACGCAACGCGACTTTTCGCATTTTCACACGAACAGTAATTGAGCCTGAATTCGCGATTGGATTTAATGGGCCTGTAATGTCTGTGCAAGTCGAATTGCAATTTCTGTTCTTTTAGCTAGTTTTTCGCTCATGGTCTGCTGGCTTAAATTAAAGCTAGCAGGACAGCCATTTTGTTGTATGTAAAGCAAAATGTCCATCTTTATAAATTGCACCTAGATCAACATAATTATCCTACCAGAAACAATGACAAACTCGTTCCAGACTTTGGCCGACTTGGGAGAACTAGAAATAGCACCAGGTATCTCGCAATAAAATTTTTCAATTTATTACCACCAAATATAAAAAAAATTCTCAGCATCAGCCAGTTCAAGGTGAGAGTAAAGACATTTTTGATAAAAAATGCTTTCTACTCATATGAGGAGTATTTTGCTTCTGATTTTAATATGTAACCATATGTTTTTTATTTTATTTTGTAACCATTTTTGTTATATTTATTGTGTAACCATGTATTCTATTTTATTATTTGAATGTTTAGATTTTTTAAGTTATCATTTTAACATGTGTGTAAAGATGGATTATGTAATATCAATTGTTAGCTATTAGTGAAAATTTAATAATAATAACTATAATTGTGAACGTATAAATATATTATACAGGGTGTCCCAGGGAAAACAGTCCACCCCGATTTACTGGATTTGGGATGAGCATCTGGAAAAACGCTCGGACACGTCGATCTTTGATTTAAGGGGGAACTATTTTTCAGTTTGTTCCATCCCCGTAGCTTCAACCCCCTAGCTAGGGGAAGAACAGCCCTCCAAATTTGAATAGGGAATAGGGGTCGTGTCATACCTCTTTTTAAAGGTCTCATCGAGTTCTTTATGATCCTAGAATTTTGTCTTATTATTTTCATCCGTAACAAAATGACAGCTTGTCAAAATCTTGGAAATAGACTATTTTTTTAGTAGGAGTACAAGAGGTACTTACCTTCCTTTA